GTGGGACGTGCCGAGGGCGTGCGCTGGCTGGTGTCGGGTTTGCGTCATTGGGACAACGAACTCTTCGCTTGCTGTGCCGTCGCATGCTCGAGCAACGTGCGAATTTCTCGATGGGCACGGCGATCCTCTGACGTTGTGGCCACCGGAAGGCCGTGCAGCAAGGCCGTCGCTGCGGCGATGTTTTGGCTTGCCCGAGCGAAGTGAGGGAGAGTCCCATCATCGGTGAGGATCCTTCGATGCACATCACGGGCCGAGGTGCGTGCGTGCCCACCGTCTCCGCGACGCTTGATCTCCTCCTCGATGTTTCGGTATTCCCGGACAAGCTGTTGCCCGGCGTCATCGATTTCTAGCTTTCGTGCTCTTAGCTACTCCATCCTTACGTGAGATGGAGCCACCGTCTCTGCCTCGATCCTGGCATCAGGGTTGCCTGTTGGGGTTGTCTCCTCTCCGGAGACGTTTTGGACATCACCCTCGGGGGTTTGCGTCATGAAGCATTCCCGGGAAGGGTGATGGCTCCCCTTGCTGGAGTCAGAGCTAGAGGACGACTCTGGCTCCTCCGTGAGGAGCCCATAGAGTGTCTCTGGATCATGTTCGATTACCCCTACAAACTCGCTGTTCGTAGGTGGTTGACCCATGCGTAGTGCCAGAAGGTGGCCAGCAGTCGCCGCGTCGCTGCGGAGACCGAACGGAAACGCTGTCGGGGCGCCTCGTACGGGGCCTTCCGGAAATAGGGTTATGCTGCGCGGGGGCTCCCTGGATGACTGGGGTCCAAGGGAATCGCCCCGCGGATCCTCAAACCTCAGACGGCCGAGGTTGATGGAAGAGAGAGACTGTTCTCCTCCTAGTGTGACAATGAAATCTAGGTCGCCAAAACGCACACATGCACCCAGGGCCCAACTGATTGCGTGGGTGGCCATCTGAGGCCTGATTTGGAACGAGCAAAGCCCCTACCTGGCGCGCCAACTGTCGGTGTTTCGTACAAGCACCGGTGAGTAAATTTATAGTAATGCGCGTTAGGCTCAGATGGTGCGCTAAAGGACACAAGATTTATACTGATTCGGGCCGAAAGTCCCTATGTCCAGTTTGTTGCTGCTCGTGTTATTAGCACCATGAACGGTTTGTAGTAAGGGGTACAAACGATCGAGAGAGGGACTGGTCCCAAGTCTTTGATGGAGGGGTTGAAGGGATGTCAAGAGGTTCGAAACAACTTGACCGTGTGTATCTGTGTGTCATATTGTTCGGTCTCCATCCTCCCCCCCTTCTGGAGGAGGTGCATCCCCTTTTATAGACGAAGGGGATGGCTTTACAAGGGTCAGTGGCTTAGGATCCGTGCTCTACCTAGCCTCCTTAACCATTCTGATGGGTGCGAAAGGAAGATAGGCGCCTACAATACTATCGATGCTTATGTAGAATGTTAGGATGGTTACAGAATAGTACCCTGCACAGGGCATGGGCCGGAGTACAATGGTTTTGACTTATGAACCTCACCCAGCCTTGCTCCGCACGCCTTCTGGCTCTATGAGTCTCTGTTAGAGGGACGAGGGGTCGGGGTCCGAAGCGACGACGTGGTCAAGGCCTTCTGACTTGGTGGACCTAAGGGGTCGAGAAGCGGGTGCCGCTCCCTCGGGTCCATAGCGTGGTGACGGAAAGTCCGTCGTGCGTGGAGATATTAATTCCTTTTTTGGAGCATAGCGATTGTCGTATATCTTCGTCGGGTTCCGTGTCCCAGGGCTGAAGGTGGCGCCTACAACTCTACAGGGCGAGGAGCATGCACCTGTACAACCTTTCGAGCTCTGCGGCGCCCGAAAGGGTCTAAAGCACTGTCCCTGTCATCCCCCCAGCGTACTTTTCTGTCGTATGCAGGTATGGTCCTTGGAGCCATGGTTGACCCAAACGTCTTGTCTTGCCCTGTACTTATCATCTTGAGGGAATGGGGAGAAGTTGTCAGGTAAGACGAATCCAATCTTTAGATATGTAGCAGGGTGAGACTCGTTCGTTGCCGTCGGGCGAAATGGATACCAATTCCTATCTCCCGGGCGAGACCGACCTCGCCCCTCCGGGGTCGGGCGAGGCGGATTCTATCCCTCAGCCCTCGGGCGAGACCGAGCCCGCCCCAAAGGCGTCGGGCGAGACGGAGTTCATCCCTCGGCCCTCGGGCGAGACCGAGCCCGCCCCAAAGGCGTCGGGCGAGGCGGAACCGAACTCCTGTCGCTCGAACAAGGGATGAAACGACGCCCTTATGCGTCCGGAAGTTTTTCACGTTCGGTGGTTATTGGTCCCAGCTTCTGGGGTACCCCGGTATTAGGTCCCCGATAGGAACAGAACAGAGGAAGACAAACAAACAGTGCTACTAGCTACTAGCTGAGCTGAGGTGGTGAGATGGATCACAGTCAAAGGACAGGCCACGTACGCGGTCCACGGCGATGCTGCCGCGGTCAAAACCTGAAACGGCCGTGCTTCAAAATGGCAACGGGTATGGACCCGATGGGTACTGGCCACCCGTACCGACATCCGCCAGATCAAAATTTTACTCGTCAGGTTACCCGTACCCGTAGGCGGGTAGAAAATTCATTCCATACCCGCACCCGACGGGTAATTCTTACCCGACGGGTAACCCGCACCCAACAATATACCCGAGTTCACACACCAAAATATAATAGCTTCCAGCAAAACAAATCAACAATAGAGCAGCAAAACAGAAGTATATCCAGGTCAAAGCTAGTTGAAATAGATCAGATGCCTCATTGGTTCATTCCAAATATGCTTATATGGGGATTAGGGTTTGAGGGAGTTCTGGAATATATATACTCATATGCTTATATGGGCCAAATATGGGCTATATGCTTATATGGGCTAAAATTGCAAAGGTTGGATATTATTTATGCGGGTTTTTTTTACCCGCGGGTATGCGGGTATGGGTAGTATACACCCACACCCGTACCCGCATACCCGATGGGTACAAGAATTCGTCCAATAACGTATCCATGGGTGCAAAATGTCTTCCATATCCGCCTCCTTATCGGGTAAAACCCGTCGGGTACTCGGTTTCGGGTTCCCGTTGCCATTTTGAGCCGTGCTGTTTAATTCTGCTTGGCCAGATTTGTTGCTGCCATTTTGAGCCGTGCTGTTTAATTCTGCTTGGCCAGATTTGTTGCTAAGTGAGTGAGTGCCGGCACAGCGGACAGGCTGAGGTAAAGTTTGTTGAATTGCTGGCATTAACTGGGCGGGCGGAATTGGTGGGTAAACGAGGACAATGAACACATTCAGGTGTGTTTGTTTCTTTAGTCGCTCCTAAAATTTATGTCACATCGAATGCTTAGATACTAATAAAGAGTATTAAATATAGATTAATTACAAAACCAATTATATAAAGATAGAGGCTAATTTGCGAGACAATTTTTTAAACCTAATTAATCTATCATTAGCACATGTTTACTGTAGCACAACGTTGTCAAATCATGGACTAATTAGGCTTAAAAGATTCGTCTCGTAAATTAGTCACAAGTTGTGTAATTAGTTTCGTAATTAGTCTATATTTAATACTCCATACATGTGTCTAAATATTCGATGTGATAGAAATTTTAGAGGGCCTGAAGAAAAGAACACCCCCTCAGTGGTTCTTCAAGTTTGCAAAATAGAAGGAGCGGAATTCGTGGGTGATGGTAGTAATATAAGCGCAAACTTCTCTACGAACATAACTTTTCTTTTTCTTTTTTCATAGTTTTCCTTGGAGCGGAACTGAAAATTATGTAATAAAATTTGGTGTTAGTTTTCCACATCCCAAACAAACATCGAACAGATCAAGTTTACGTGCCCCTCTAGCCCATGCCCACCTGCCCCATAGATGAAGTTATTCCAACCCCACACCCCTCCTAACACTTATTAAGTACAAAATGTTGCTCATGCTTTTTTCCCCTCGGTAAACCTTCTAGTAAAGAAAAGAAACAGTAATAATCACTATGACATAAAAGCACAAAGAAGACACATACATCATTGACGTTAAAACAGGCAATATCACAGATGTAGGATTAGTGGTGCGTCTATCCACTATCCACTATATGTCTCCCTAGGGCCACATAGAATCCATACCCCTCCCTGATGAATGAATATCAAAGACTCTATTCAATAATGGTCTCTGAATATTTTAGAGACGTCTCTCAAAAGCTCGTCTTTGCTAGTAACACGGTACAGTTTTTGAGATGCGTGAAATACTTCTTCCTTGTCCTATCCAAGGAAGTGGAAGCGCCCACAGGAGCCCTCGACAAAAGTATGCTGAGTGAAACCCGAAAAACTATCGCCCCATTCTTGATGTCCCAAGCCGTGATGAGAAATGGGGGAATTCCAATGTGCCAATTAATTTTGCCATGTGATGCGTTTGGCTAATTAGTATTGAATGTTTTGCTTGTTAACTAATCCCTCCATACTCGTAAAACATGTCGTTTAGGACATGATTGTGCTTACCAAGGAGTGATTAATTAGGGGGTATTTTTTCTATGTGCCCCTATTAAATAGGGTTGCGGGTGCATTTCATATGAGAAAGAACCATAACTCAAACGGCTAGCGTAGTGCGTCGTGAGCCCTGAGGACCTGGTTCGATTCCTGGCGGGCGCATATTTTTTGCTAGTGCCCTAATTTTGTATGGCACTGTTTTGTTTCGGCTGAACGTGGCTGAGCGCGTTTCTGCGTGATTTTGGCCTGGCGCGCGCGAAAGATGCATGTCGCTGTGCACTGGCACTCGTTTGTTTCGTTCGTTTTTTCATTTGAGTTTACTGGCGCTATTTCCTTTTCACTGCGCACGTGCTCAACAGGCCTGACGCTTGGAGTGCTTCGTCTATTTAAACGCCTCGTACCTAGCTTCCTGCATCTACTACCTTGCCTCCTTGCTTGCTTGCTTAAACTACTGTGCTTGCTTGTTCTTAGCCATGTTCATCTACGACATGGCTTAGTTTTTTTTTCTTCTTCCACTTTCTCCTGTGAACCTTCCTTGCTAGCTGAAGCCATTAGTAATCTCCCTGCAAATTAGAAGATGGAAATTAGCTTATGCAAATTAGAGGATGCAAGTTACGGATCCTACAATGTATCTTAGGTTAAATGCATGTACCTTACTGATCTTGCTTTGCTTCATCTTCTTTGTTGGCCTGGGGACTGATCTTTGTTTGCTTCATCTTCTCATCGTGCTCCTCCAACTTCTTTACAACTTCCTCGGGCAGAATGATGGTGTTACCATGCATTTCAAGTTTTCCACATCAGGAATGAAGAACTCACAATCAAACTTGTCCACGCCATAGAGGAACCTTGCTAGCACATCGTAGTCTTCATGCAAAAGGCCACAACGGGCACACCTGCGAGCGTTGCGGTGAGCTTGGAAGCAGGCTTCTTCGAAGACGCCGCCAGCGTGGAACGTGCCGCAGCGAAGACACTGTACCTCCTCGACGGAGTCTGGCACCTCCTCGACGGAGTCCAGTGGCTCCACGTTGTCCAGCGTGACGGAGTCCGGCACCTCAATGACGGAGTCCAGATCAGGCGCGATGGAGTCCGGCAACTCCTGCGGCGTCATCTCGATGTTGTCCAGCGCGACGGAGTCCGGCACCTCAACGACGGAGTCCAGATCAGGCGCGACAGAGTCCGGCAACTCCTGCGGCGTCATCTCGACGTTGTCCAACTGCAATTCGAGCGAGTGTGGACGCGAGCGATCCATGCCGCAAGCGTGCGGCGAGCGTACGGCGAGCATGCAGGCGAGAGTGCGGCGACCGTGCAGGCGAGCGATCCATCCATGGCAGCGAGGAACGGCGACGACGCTGTACTGCGACGATGAAGGGAGTGCCACGCTTCCGTGCGGCGAGAATGGTAGTGCGACGCAATAATGGGTTGCTAGTGAATGGTCGATGAAGGAAACGAAGCGGCAAACGAGATTAATGCTCGGCGGCGCGCATGATTAGTGAAGGAAGGCATCCGAAAGGATTCCAGGGGCAAACACGACCACGTACAGGGTCACGCGGCCACAACGACATGTTTCACGAAAACGCAGTAGAGGCCCACGACGACATGTTTTATGAGTATGGAGGGAGTATCTACAAACAATGAAGTTTAATGATTCTCTGAACTAGTTAGATGGTGTCCAATGAGATATGTTACTATGCTAACGAGTAAATGCATGAATAATGGTTGATGTGACACAATGTGTATGAACTGATGCATTTATTCAATCCAATTGTGATTAGCTTGTGATGACTTATAAAGAGACCCGAAGATGCAGTGACACGTTGAAAGCTCTAGTTTGGTTTTATTAAATTAATGAAACCCTAAGTGCTAACCTAGTTTATGAAAGTGATTATGAGATAGGTGGCACATTCCAATTGGTGAAGCAAATGAAGATCATGACATGATCACGATGGTGATGGCATGGTGATGATCAAATGCTTGAACTTGGAAAAATAAGAAAGAAAAATAAAAAGTTCAAGGCAAAGGTGAAACTTGATAGGAGTTTTTCGTTCTAGTGATCAAGACACTTGGTGAGTGTGATCACATTTAAGATCGATAGCCGTACTATTAAGAGGGGTAAAACTCGTATCGAAATGCGGTTATCAAAGTGCCACTAGATGCTCTAACTCATTGTATATGCATTTAGGATCTAGTGGAGTACTAACACCCTTGAAAATGTTTGTGAAAATATGCTGACACACATGCACAAAGGTGATACACATTGTGTTTAGCACTTGGGAGCAAGGGTAAGAAACTTCATCGGTGGAGTGTCTGCCCGTAGAGTGTGGACAGTCCAACGGTGCCACCGGCGCCCTGTATAGAAAAGACAGGGTTTTCACAGAGTGCACCGGACGCTGGTCTCAACTGGACTGGAGCGTCCGGTCAGCGTCCCGTCAGTGGAAGCAATGAAGACGTTGGCGTCGATTTTCGACCAGACGCTAGGTCACTTCGTGACCGGACGCTGGCTGACTGTGTTCGGTCGCGCTGATGTGGCGGTGCACAGAGGAGACAGTGAGCTGGGCGGTCTGGTCGGTGGTGACCGGACGCGTCCGATCACGAGTGGTACCTTACTAGAAACGACCGGACGCTAGGGTCCTGCGTCCGGTCACTTTCAAGCAGCGCGTCCGGTCACAACTTAAATATACTAATGACCGTTGAGATCGAGCGATCAACGTTTGAAGCAAGGGGCCACGTGGCGTGCATCAAATGATCGGACACTAGGGTCATGCGTCCGGTCGATCTGACCGGCGCGTCCGGTCGCCCCGAATTTTTAGAGAGTAGGGAACCAACGGCTCTATTCATGGGGGCTCTCTATTTAAGTCTCATGGCCAGCTCAAGCTCACTCTCTTAGCCATTTGCATTGAGATAGCAACCTTGTGAGCTTAGGCAAAGCCCTCCCACTCATCTCCATCATTGATTCATCATTTTTGTGAGATTGGGAGAGAATCTAAGTGCATTGCTTGAATGATTGCATCTAGAGGCACTTGGTGTTCGTGTTTCACTGTAGGATTCGTTTGTTGCTCTTGGTGGTTGCCACCACCTAGATGGCTTGGAGCAGCGGAGGAGGATTGGCACGAGTTGATGATTATTCGTGGCCATCTCTCGGTGATTGTGAGGGGACTTGTACCTTCCCCGACGGAGCGCCAAAAGGTAACCCTAGTGGATTGCTCGTGTCATTGAGTTACCTCACTTGTGGGTAGATTCTTGCGGTGTCCAATTGCGTGGACGAGATTCATGTAACACCTCTTAGCCACCGAACCACCAAGTGTTTGTCGACACAACGGGGACGTAGCTTATTGGCAAGCACGTGAACCTCGGGAGAAAATTGGTTGTCTCTTGCCCTTTGATATTCTTCCAGTGATTGAGTTAATATTCATCTTGTGATTGGTTCACTCCTCTATGCGGCGGTATAATCACCTTACTTACTCATTTACATTCCCGCAAATTAGTTGTAGCATGCTCTTTAGTGTAGCTAGATTTGAGAGCTTGCTTTGTAGCTTAAGTTCATCTAATGGAGCTCTTTAGTGTAGCAAGTGTGAGAGCTTTTAGTGAGTAGTGACTTAGCAAATTGTGTGTCTAGTGGTCATAGTAACTAGAATTGTTGGATAGGTGGCTTGCAACCCTTGTAGAGATAGAGCAAGTTTGCATTTCGCTATTTGTCATACTAATCAAATTGCTCTAGTTGGTTTGTAGAATTTTAAATAGGCTATTCACCCCCCTCTAGCCATATTAGGACCTTTCACACGTCTATGATAAGGAATATCATAGACACATGCTAAAACAATCTCATCTCTAATGGAAAGATATTAGATATGCACATAAGATAATCCACCTACTATATATATAATCTAAGACCCGTGCTTAACCACTATGTCTCTGATAGGACGAACCAAAGACCGTGCCTTAATAAAAAATCCATATAAAATGTTATTATCTGAGACACATATAAAATAAAATGTCTCTGGATGTGTTATTATCTGATCAGAGACGTTTTGTTATAACGCCAACATCTCTGATCTGTGCATGTCAGAGATAGTTCCTAGTTCGGTAACTATCATTATGTGTGCATGTCAGAGATGGGGGAGAACACGTCACAAATATTGTCCACATCAGAGATGTAAAATTAGAGATGCTTGTTTTCTTGTTGCTAATATGCACCTTGAACTGTCAGTAATGTCCTTTTATGTCATAATGAATGCTCATTTATCCTAGGTAAATCCTAAGACAAATTATGAAGCGCATGAGAGGGAATGAGGCATTTTCAAGCATGCAATGGTGGATATGCTAGAGAGAAAAATAGAGGTAGAGGGGCTCATCCACTCCATCTCTCATTTGGTTCTTTTCTCTCCTCTTTGTCTTCTTGGCCCTCTCAGTTTTCTTCTTCCTCTTAATGTAGATGGGCTTTACAAGCTACACGCTAACAGGGGAAAGCAGCCAAACATAAACCCTCCTCCTTGTTGTGTCAGCGGCACTAGATCCACTCTAGCAAGCATGGGTCTTAGACAAATCATTTACGTAGACTTTGGTTAGATAATACAATGATGTGATATGTCACCACGTCATGCGAACTAACTACTAGCTGCTAGCCAAAATAAATGTCGAGTTCTTGCACGCTAGCTAGTTCTCTTTTTGGTTGTTGTTTGACTGAGCGGTAGGTGCGCTGCTTCCATTTGAGATCATTGAAAAGACACCTTTTTGCATGCAAGCAACTAATGTGGATCTTTACAAACAAGTCGAAACTATTTGTCTGAGAGCATTGAAAAGATACCTTTTACACGCAAGCAACCAATGCGAAACTATATAAACAAGTTGCAAGTATTCATCTAAGAGCATTGAAAAGATACCTTTTACACAGAAGCAACCAATGTGAATCTATAGAAACAAGTCTTTTGCTGCGCTCTAACTAAAAGGAAAACACAACATAATGATGGTATAGGAGGAAGGGACATATTAGCATGACTTAGGGCATGTATGGATCCTCCTAGCTTTGTAAGTTGTGCTAGGTGTTTAGATGTTCAAAATGGGTTATAAGTTGGATTATTCGAACTAGCTAGAGTTTTTTGTCTAGTGGCTTTCTACAAGCTCTAACTGATCCAAACATGACATTACCCATGGACTGATTGGACGAGTCTTGACTAGCATTATATTAAGTGGACTATTCTTGGGTTTGTTTCCTTCAATATGTTGCGATGGGTGTAAATATTATTCTTCTAAATGCTTTACTTTGTTTCTTGGGGTCAACTTAAGATTTCTTATCTTGTCCCATCAACAATAAATTTCCTCATAACATCTTGGGTGAAGCTCCTGGCATAAGGCTCATGAGTTGTGTCTAACACCATACATTATGCAAGTCAACATACCATAATTTACCAAATGATCCCCTAGTTAACTTTATTTTGTTAGCAACTAGGTAATAACATACAAATGTTTTTCATTTCTCTTTCCAAATGCTTCAGTGAAAGGGTGGTGTAGCTCTAAATACCATGTGATGGTTTAGAGATATATTCGCTATTAGTGCTACATGTCTATGCAGTGATGTCAGACTCATCCTCTCTACTATGTATCTCTCTTTGTTTTTCTCAATGACAATTGAATTGTAAAGAATTAAATTGTTGCCCATATTTTTTCAAATGTGTCTTTCAAAATCAAAGTAGTAGTTTATCAATTTGGGATAGATTCTATCTACAGATTGAGGTGCTCCTCGACAATCATGGTTGCCTATACGTCAATCCATCATGCTAACGAGAGCCTAGCGATTTTTCATGTGTTTCCCATCTTCGCCTCATTCTTTTTAGGGAAAGGCTAGCACTCGAACGTTCGCACATGGGCTAGCGTCTGAATGCCCATGTCACACGCTTGCTTCACATGGGGTCCCACGCCGCTCCATGTCCCATGCCCCCTCTGTCTCGATCTATGCCTGCACGGTTTCCCGTGCCTACGCTCGCTCCCCCTCCACACCAACGCGCATGCAGGTAGGCCCAACAGCTATAGCAGATGGGGTCCAATACAATATGTGCAACACTAGATCTACTTTTACAACATCTAGAGGAAACATTTACAACATACGTCTAAAATAGTTGAAACACTTGCAACATATGTCTGAAACACAAGGAAAACACGTGCTGAAAACATATGCAACATCCAAATGAAACACTTGCAATATAA